ATATGGATTGAAAATAACTTGAGGAAAACTGGCAAGTGCCCTTGTTTTTTAGTGCCATTTAGGATATGTCTATACTGCAGCGTTTTTCTGGAAAAATGGCTGTTTTTCCGGAAAAGTTATACTTACGTCCACACTGCTATTGCACACAAAGTTGAAAGAATAGAGGGTTTTTTCCAACAGCAGTAAACCTCTTTCTATGAGGAAGAAGCCTTTTTCTGAAAAAGCTGAAGAAGTGGCTTGAGCCCACAAAAGCTCATGATACCATCTACGTTTTTTGCTAGTCTCTAAGGTGCTGCAAGACTATTTGTTGTTTTTTAATTTTTTCCAGTAATGCATTTTGACACTGTACATTATTCATCATCTGTGTTGTGCTTTGGACATAGTATAAAGTACCATTATCTCTGTGGACTTCTCATGCAATACGGTCACCATTTTCTCATAATTTGCAGGAGAGCTAGAGCCGCCATCTTCTACTTATCAGGTTGATCTATCTCATTTCTGTTTTACTGCTTTTTGTTTTCACAGTGGCCATGCATCAACTCTTTCTGTGGTGACAGATCATAGATTTCAGTCATCCTTTGGTTTCCCACTTCCTTTGTGTCCAGCAAATTGAAGACTTTAAAACGAAAGACAGTTACTTAGGCAATTTAGTGGTTAAGCTTTGTGGATAGTCTAGTTTTTTTTAATGATGGTGCATATTATGTTCTTGTGAAAGAGCAGCTCTACTATCACAGTCTCTAGTCTAGAGGTTTTTTTTTTCAGTACTAAATGACTATATAGTCTATTTTAAGCAATGTTGTTGCATTCCTGTTTCAAACATGGATTCATTGTTTGTATTTCTCACATATATTGTCTATCTTTGACTGCTGATGAATTGCTTGACATGTATACACAATGCATTTCCTCATACTGCAAAGCATGCTCCTTTTCTTCAGCAGTTCAACCCCATCCACTCATCTGCATTCTGTAGAGGAAGTGGGTCTGGCCCACGAAAGCTCATCACCTAATAAACTATCTTGTTAGTCTTTAAAGTGCTACATAGTTCTGTCTTTTGTTCAAGCACACAGTTTGAGTTTCATTTTGTGTACTCCATTTAAGTGATGTTATCAGATCGGAGACACTTCATTGTGTTTGAGGGGCTTTTGGATATCAAATTATTAATTCAATTTGGAATTCAATGAACATTTATTTCTTCAAGAAAAAGGCATATTGGTACTCAGGTTAGTGGATTAAATGACTAAAGACCTAAATTTGACCTCAATTATACCACGTGCATACCCACTAACTTTACTGGGGTTGGCTGGTGTGTGTAAATTATGGCAAAATCTAGCCCTACTGGTATAGACTTGTACACTAGATTAAACAAGGTGTGCTAGGATAGATGGCATAATGGATTTAATAAGGCATCAGGATATTAGATGGGATGGATTATCCTTTTGTCCGGCAACACGTCGAAAAATCTAGTATGAAACATGGAAGTGGTTTTCATCTTACTGTTTTCTTAGGAGATTTTCTTTGAGACAAAGTATGATCAAGCATACAGCCTCCGAAACTCTACTGTACTTACTGATTCTGCAGAACAAAGTGCAGAAATAATGAAGTGATGATGATGAATGTTCCAACCGTGGCTCTCAACAAGCTTCTCATTTCTGAAGCCAGCCAGGAATATAATATGTAGCCTCCACTTTGTTTCATATAGAAGGATAAGGACTCATCATTGCATAGCTTTCTTTTTGGCTTTGAACACCAAACTGATCACAGCTGAGTCCTGGGGTTTAACACAAGTGAGGGGTGGGATCCATTTCCTATAGCTAACTTGAGTGCTGAGAAAGCATTAACCACATGTGTTAATTGATAGGGGATAGCAGCATTAACATTAACAAAAAACAAAACAAAGCAGCTGAGGCTTGCTGTCTGAGAGAAGAATAATGGGGTGATGACAAAATACAGAGGTTCCCAGAGAACTCTCTAGTTGTTTGGCAGGCCACCGTTAAATTGTGGGAGAGGATTAAGACAATATCCTTCTGTCAGTTTAGTCTGCACTTACACTCTAGAGGCAAGTCAAAGCTATTTGGTGCTAGGAATTGAGGACTTTTGGGTGCAATAAGAAATACTTAGGGTGCTCCTCTGAATTATGTTGGTACATGTGGTGGAGACCATTTCAAGCCAGGGATGTGGCAGCCCCTGTAGTTCCAGCACCTATGACTGCAGGAGAACCTAATGACCCTGACCAGAGCACCATTGCATCAGGTGCAATACATTCCCATAGCACAGAGAGGGCCCCTGCCCAAGGGAGCTCACAATGTATGACAGACAGTACATGACAGGTGAATATCCACATTACCATCTGTTGCTTTTGCTGCTTGACTGACATGTCGAACACATAGTCCTCATCCTGGGACAGGCCCAATGCCATTTACTTTTCCTGCCACTTCTGGAGTTCCTGGTTCATTCTATTAGAATAGATGGGTCCTGACATTTAGTAGTGTGTTTTACATATCTGACAACTCTGTAGAAAGCTCCTCCCACTTCTTTGCTTGAAATTAACAATGTTTTTATGAGCCAAAGAAACCACCTGCCAAATAAGTGGTAATTATAAGGGGGTTAATGAGGAAAGGTTCTGTTCTGTACCAGGTACCTAATATAATCAATTAGCCAGCTCACTCAACTTGACTTTTAAAATAATGTTATTTACATATATATTAAGTATTAATCAAATCCAAATGATGAACCTAGGAGTTTGTTGCCTTTTTTCTCCTTTGGTCACCACTTCACTATGCAACGGGATCGATGGGAAGCAGATATAATAGGCGGGGGGGCTCAGCCTCCCCAAACCAGGGCTGTGGCCCCATCCATGCTCCACCCCAAGATCCTGTCTTCACTTTGCCTGTCTCCTGAAGCAGGCGGGGGCTTGGCTCTGAGTCTGTGGTAGGGGAGAGAGGGCTATTGTGGCTCCAGCAGGAAGGATTTAGGAGTGGGGTTGGGCCTTGAGCAGGAGGGCTTGGCAGGAGGCTATCTTCCTGGAGCAGGAGGTTCACTGGTTGCTGGTGGAAGATGCCTTTTATTCTTAGCCGTAGTCCCACTCATCATTCTCCACTGGCCAGGGAGGTGCAAAGATGGTACAACTGAGATAGCTGATCTCCCTTCCAGCATGGGCAGGGGGAGATTCAGATGAAGATGTTTACCCTCAGCCCCTGTCTGCAGGACAGTTGGGTTTGCTTGAGATCATTCCCGTAACAGGTATATTACAGTCCTGCACAAGCTACCCTGAACTTTAAATGCTATTGTGTTTTCATCATAAATGACTGTGAGGCAAGAGAGACCTTTCTGCCTGTCTGAGTCATGGTTAGCAGTTCCGCAACCCAGGCTGTTTGCTTCATAGTAACTCAGGGTTGAGGTTAGTTTGGTTTTTTATAGTTTTGTACAAGTAGATATTTGTAACCCTTGTTCCTGGCTATTTCACTGAGCTGTTCATTTGTGTTATCAGTAAGAACAGTTCAGGAGATATACTCAGAAGAGAGATGGGTTTCAAGGATGCAGCCATACACTAGAGGGCTGACTGTTGCATGACCTATAATGGCACCTAATTGGGGGAGGGCCTGGGCACATGGGCCAGCACTGGCCTGGCACTATGAGCCTGGGCATTATGAGACTTCTTCCCTGTGGATGAGTAGGCACAGAAGTAAACCTCTTTGATTTCAGTGGGACAGCTCACAGGGCAAGGTACTGCTCAGCAGGAGTGAGGGTGGCCAAAATTGGGTTCCATGGCTGGAGTGGGCAGGCAGGGTGGCATGAATATCTTGTCCTTTAACAGAGCGGCAAAGTGCCCACTGCTAGGTGCACTCCCCAGGGTTCAGCCACAATTATTCCTGGGATTATCCTCCTCTGGGTCTTCCCTTCACCCTGCTATGGCAGCACTGTGCTTTTAAAGGCACAGTCCAGCCTTCCCTTAGTACAGTATTAGACTCAGAGATGGCTAAAAACATATGTTGTTGGAATAGCATCCGGATAAGAACATAATAACTTTGGATAAGAACATAATAACCAGGCATGGTGTTGCTACAGGAAATATGTGGTTACTTGGTACACCAGTGATACACACAAATATGGAATATCCACAATTATAGTCCAGTAATGGATCCAAAGAGACTGCTGTGCACATGAGAAATTGGTATTGTTATACTTGAGTAGATATGCAACTGTTGTTTGTTGATATACATAAAAGATGATATGTCTTGAGAGAGAGACCATGGGGAGCTTTAATGTGGTTTTAATATGCCACATGTCCTGATAGCTATATGTGATAGGTTTCAACTGATGTGGGTGCCTTTTTATGTAAATACCAAGGTAAACTCTGACTGTGCGAAAGACAGTAGCAACACAGTTCCACAGGAGAAAAATGTTGTTATTGGTGTAAGAATACCACCAGCAAGACATAGAGACGCAGAATGGGAGTGGAGGGGCTGGTTCTTAAATTCTCTCCCATGTGAGTACAATGTGTACAAAGTGGCATTGTTGCAGTTTGTGTCTTGTAAGTCCATCTTGGGCCTCTTTTCAGGGTCCTACTGCCTGAATACAACACTTCCCTTTTAAAGAATAGGACACTTCCTTGGGGGTATAAACGTGAGTAGTCTACTTGGCTTATCCATGTATCAGTCACCTAAGTCAATGGCTCTCACCAATTGCACAGTACTTATACATGTGCTGTTTATCTGAAGGGGCTCTGATTTGTTCTGAAATTGAAATCAACATCGAGCTTGTAAGCTGATCTGGGTTAACCAAGTCAGAGACTATTTTCTATAGTGTGGCTGGGAGTGAAGGCAGTGTTGTACTTGTGCACTGTATTGAAACTCAGGCCTTGCAGCATGATCATACCCTGAGTGATTCCTTGGCAGAGTCTGGCCACTGTCATGAAAATGAAGAAGTGGCAGAAGAAACGGATATGGCTTTGGCTTATGACACAAAGAAGACCTACAGTGTAAACAGCAGGTAGGGTCAATATCAACATATGCTGTTTATTTTCACTAACCCACATATGAAGAGTCAAATGGCAGAAACTTTCATTATCTCAGTGAGGACTCACTTCGGTGCTTCCACTTTGTTCCCATGCAGTTCAAAAACTGGCCTGTGTATCAATTTATCAGATAGAAGGAGCCCTTCACTTGCATGTAGAGTAGCTTGTGGCAACATGAGGAAGAGGGTAGCTAGTTGATCACCTTTATAATTATCTAGAGAGAAAAGAGACTCTTCAGCAGCTGAAATAGCAATAATCATGATATAGCAACCACAGCTCAGACCCACAAAGGTACTGAGCAAACTAAGTCCTGTGCTGAACCCTGTTAACTCTCTGTGTCTACATTTTTGCCTTTGGCATGCAGTCGCCTATCTCCTGCTTAAGCTCAAGGGCCACCCATGAACAGGGCAAGGTGGACATTCATCCCCCCAAGTGACATGTGGGGCCTGAATGGATAGGTGTGCGCCTAAGTTTCCTACTGCATTGGGTCTCCTTCAAAACTTGCTGAGGGAAAAGTTGTGGTGGTGATCAGTTTTCCCGATATGACTTTACATCCATGAGTGGAGTGAGTTTTGTCTTGTACACCTATATTGAGGTCATGTGTGCTTTTTTGGATGGGTGCCTCTGTAGCTCCCACCAGTGGTGTTGATCCCCAATAGACTCTTTCAGCACAGAAACCTCAGCCCGGTCTCCCCGGCTGGGACCCTGAGCCCTGCTCCCAGGCAGCAACCCTCCCCACCCCTTGTGGGGAAAAGGTGAGATCCCCGCAGCCCCCAGGACTGCTGCTCCCAGGGCAGCCAGTGTGCAGGGCAGGCAGCCCTGTGGGGCTGGCTGAGAATCCCTGCTTGGGGCAGAGGGAAGCTTCTGCCAGGCCCCAAGGATTGCAGGCAGTGGATAGCCAGGATGGAGGAGCCAACAGGGGCCTGAAAGGGGCCAGAGGGGAGTAAAGGGGAGAAGAGAGGTGCAGGAGGGGGAAACAGGGATGCAGGGGCTCCGTCAGAGCGTCCCCGGCTATTGCTGCGGCCTAGAGGGAACTTAGTATGTAACCAAGTCAGTGACAGAAGATATCTATAGGGATTAATTCCTGCTATTGAGCTATTGGGGGATACTTTTAAATTAAAGAATATCTACCCTTTAGTCACAAGCACCCCTTTCTTGTGGTTTATTCTAGTTTTACAGGTTGGCTAGGAGGAAGTAAAATATTCAGAGCAAATAGTTCTGACGGTGTCCCTTAACAATCCTCGTTTCCTGCTTCCTCCACATCCAGCACTTTATAGTCTCCTATTGAAATCAGTATATTCATAGAATAAACATGCCAATAATAGGTCTACCTACATTATTACAGAGCAGCTAATTTTGTTACACCTTTTTTAAAAAAAAACATTTTATATTTTAAACTGTCTTCTCCGTTTACTGGCATAGTACTAGATTTCTGCTATTATATGTAGCAATTTCCTACAAATATACCAGAGATTAGAAAGATCTTTACAATGAAAAGCACATTCCATTACAGACAACTTCATCTCAGCATGCTATTCAACTGAAATTAGGTAAGTATATCAGCTCTAATAAAACTTATTTTCTTGGAGAATTTGGTTATCAACAAGATTCATTTGGAAAATGTCTAGCTTATGAATGCTGCCCCTCATTATTTGTATTACAGGAGCATATAAAGGCCAAGGCCTCCGTGTGCTCGGTATGGTACAAACTAGCTCACCCCTGTAAAGGGTGTAAAAAATCACATGTAGTGCTGCTTAAAAGCTTCCCCTCAAAATGATTAAAATGTAACCATGGAACACTGAAACAACTTCTCTCACTGCCCGTGACAAAGTGGGGATTGTATTCGCTCTGTTCACTTGTTATGTTGCATGTGATTTCTACTGTCCTACACTATTCTGTAGTAACTATGTGCATGTGCCTCAAATTCCTTGGGTACTGCACCAGTGCCCGGATGGAGATGGGAATGTCAGGTGTGACCCTCACTGAAGGAGGTTGCCCAGCCCAGCATGTACACAATGGCCCAGGCTTACTGTAACATGAGCCTGGTGTGTGTGTGTGTGTGTGTGTGTGTGTGCATGCGCGCGCGCAAACAGGTGATACCTTTTGCCTGGGAAGCTGGACAAAGGAAGAGGTGGGGCTGCCTGCAGAACTGGGATTGGTTACTGAGTGTGTAAGTTAGTCTCAGCTGGCTTAGGAGAGAGGAGGCCCAGGGCCCTGGCTCTGCCCCCACTCTTCCCCTCGCTCCTCAGAAAAAGGTTGTACTGGTTGCTTCTGGTTCCCATGCTGCCAAGTCTTTTCTACGCTGTGACCCTATCTTCTAATAAATCTTGTGTTCTACCTGCTGGCTGAGAGTCACATCTAACTGCGGATGGGGGTGAAGGGTCCAGTGACCCCCCCTCTTTGTGCCACTGCCAAATGACAGATCTTTTACGCTGACATACATGTCTTTTCTCCCTACCAGAAGCTCATCCCAGCTCTCTTTTGCAGTACAGAGCAAGTCAAGTCTCTTTAGTGTACAAAACTGAACAGTAAGAAGCAGCAAAACCACCAACACATCCACATTTCTCACCTTCTGTTTAGGACCTACAACTTGTTACATATTATTGTTTGTGCAACTCATTTGAAAATTCAGGGCCTCTCATTGGACTTTACTCGGTAAACGGCTTCCTTCCACTCAGGCTCAATCATGCCCCCCCACCCTCATTTTTGTGGGCTTCTCTAGTTTATTGCTATGCTAACCAATGTGGGCTGGCCTACACAAGCACTTGCCTTGCTCTTCTCCAACGGGGGTTGCTGCGGGCCCTGACAGCGAGTGCAAGAGATCTCTGGTTTCAGTCATGACAAGTTCTTTGCCTTCTAGCACTGTTGTGACACAGCAGCATCCTGAGCCAGGAGCTGGACTGGCACTTGTGTGGGGGGAGGTAGGGCACTTGCCCGGTGTGCAGTACAGGGGTGAGGCCGGCAAGGGGATGGGTGAGGAGGGGGATGACAGAGGCTGAAGTTCCTTGGGGTGCTTGGGGAGAGGGGCAAGGGGCAGCATGAGGTAGAGGTCGGGCTGTGGCAGGCAGCGCAGGCAGGGCAGCAGCCTGGGCCACTGGCTCTGGATGTGCTGCCTGCAAACACCGCAGGTGTCCAACAGGTTGAACTGGGCCATCTCCCCACCATGCTCCACAGGGCCCTGCTGGCCCTTAATCTCGTTCTCAGCACTGCAGCTCCCACCCACTCTGCCAGCTAGGCCCCCAGGTAGAGGTCGGGCTGTGGCAGGCAGCGCAGGCAGGGCAGCAGCCTGGGCCACTGGCTCTGGATGTGCTGCCTGCAAACACCGCAGGTGTCCAACAGGTTGAACTGGGCCATCTCCCCACCATGCTCCACAGGGCCCTGCTGGCCCTTAATCTCGTTCTCAGCACTGCAGCTCCCACCCACTCTGCCAGCTAGGCCCCCGCTGCCAC